GAAAAAGTTAAACGATAAGCCTGATAAGTCGAAAAACATGGTCACTAAATGAGCTCTAATATAATTTAACTATTTAAAATAACATTTAGAATTTTTTTTAGTTGACCATCTAATGACATTTTTCTAATAATATTAACTATCTTAGCCAGTCATCAACTAAATTAAATAAATTAGATGATGTAAGACCTCTTCACTAATCACTAACACTTTAAATTAGGATGTTTTCTTTTGGACTATTTTCAGTCCCAGACTAGACCAGACCAGACTTCCATAGTTATAAAGTACACAGAGACCAGACGTTTACCAGACCAGACCAGACCAATTCAAACCAGACCAGACCAGACCAGCAAATTTTAGTCCAAAAAGAAAATATCCTTAGAGCTATGGCAGTGATTGGAACTTTAATAACATTAAACGCTTGCAAACGTAACAAACAATTAATAATCCTAATATATTCAATTCAAAAAAATAATCCTAATATATTGAATCTCACTATAATTAAATTTATAATCCCACTAATAAATTAGCAACACATCCGTACTCTTCCACCTCAGCACATCGGTTTTGAGTCTTCGACATCTTAATTTCAGATTTTATCATTTTAGATGAGCTTACCATAAACAAACTGTTCGGCTAGGAATTGAAATTCACGAGCCCGTTTGGAGACCCCTTTTTTCGGCTTATCAGGCTTATCAGCCAGCTTTTTCACCAAACACGTAATTTTTACTTTCGCGTGCTGAATTGGGTAATAAGCAGAAAAAGTAAGGTTGAAGTTACTTTTCTGGCTGTATTGGCTGAAGTTACTGTAGATGACCATTTTAGCTATTTTTACATGTAATTTTTTCTTTATTTTATTAATAAAATATATTTTTAAAATATTTTTTTCTAGAATCAGCAGAATCAGCCAAAACAGCCACTTCAGCAAGAACTTCATAAATTTCAGCAGAAACAGCCAAAACAGCCGATTTTTGTGCTACCAAACGGGCTCCACATTAATAGAAATTTAATAACATTTTATGCATAATAATTTGATTATACATATAATAGTAAAAAATCGTGATCAAAGTAAGATATGTCAAAGTACATTACATGGATTTAGTGGGATTGTATTAAGGGCAACAGCCCCCTCCTTAACTCCTTCATAGATCCGCCTATGATTTATTCAAAAATACTAGGAGTGTACTAAAAAAAATAGTATGGTACTACATTTGATTTATTGTGACAGTGTTGGCACCTATGGCAACATTTTGGATATGCTATAAAAGTTATACTTTGTTGTAGTGTAAAGAAAGTATTCAGTAAGATAATATTAGGAGAATTGCCGGCCTAATATGTTCCCGAATGCAAAAATATGCTTCTGTCCCAAATTGTTTTGCAAAGTTTAACAATTTTTGGTTAACCAATGTTAAAGTTAAATCATTCATACTGATAATTAATTCAACGTACTTTAATCATTAAAATTTATATATTTAGAAACTACATTAAAATCTTTGTAAAGTTGTAAAATTCAAATTAAAATTTAATTAAGAACTAATGTCGTAATTAAGTGAACAAAATGAACTTGTTTGACCATAAAAAATCAAATTTGCAAGTCAATTTTGAACGAAAAGAATATGTTATTATTCCTAAAATAAAAAAAAAATCGTTAATACCATGATCAGAGGCGGAGCTAGGATTTCATTGGAAGGGGGCCGTGCATAATGAATAACAAACTATCGAATGTGTCATATAAATATAGAAGACGTTGTATCAAACATTGTATCAAAGTCAGTTGTTTATTTGAATTCTGAGAATTTGTAGGACGGTTATAAAAACTCAATACCGTATATTATAATGAGATGTTTAGTTGTTCCACACAATTCTTTTTCGACATCTTGAAAAAATTTCGATATGTTTAGTTGTTTATTTTTATGTCGAAAATTCAAATTAAAGGTAATTAAGTATGAGTTAAATTTTTAAATTTGTTTGCATGCATTCTTAAATACGTAGTATATATATCACTCGATGTCTAATTATACGAATAGACATATAAGATGAAATATATCATACGCCAAAGTTAATTTACTAGATTTGATCCAATTTATTCACCCACATATTCATATTTAGGGTTGGTTTGCAACTGCTTTTAAAAAAGCACTTCTCAGCTTTTGGCTTTAAAAAAGGACTTATTTTCCCACACACTACAACTTTTATTTTTCTCGGCTTCCGCGTCAAAAGTGCTTTTACTTTTTCTATTACACAAAAAGCACTTATTTTACCAAACACTACCCACTTTTATTTTTCAAAATCACTTTTTTCTCAAACACTATCAACTTTTATTTAATCACTTCTCCCCATTTCATTAAAAAAAGCACTTTTTAAAAAGCATAAACTGTTGCTAACAGACCCTTACACTCTATTTTTTCCGATCCCTTGATGTATTCCAAGCATATATTTATGAATCATAATTATTACTCCCATGTCCCATTTTATCTGTCCTACTTTCCTTTTTGGGTTGTTCCAAAATAAGTGTGTTCTTTCCATTTTTGAAAAGAAATATGTGGTCTGCACCATTTCACTTTATTATACTTAAATCTCAACCACAACTTTTACGTTTTCAATTACTTCATTAATAATCGTGCCAAGTCAAACTAAGACACATAAAATGGGACAGAGGTAGTACTATGTTTACTTATAAAGTGAATAAATCTAATTTACTTAAATGGGAATAAAGTAATAAATTCAAGCTTATATATTTATGAATCATACTTCGTATTAACTAATGCGGCTGCAAGACAAATCTTCATGTCAGGCCGGCCTGACGGGATGCTCCGTCCGGACGAGCCCGTTTGGTCACCTTCCCGGTGGAATTTTTTGATGAAATTTTTTGAGCATGTTCCTCATCAAGTCTAGTTTGTCCATACCAAATTTCAGCTCAAAATTCGATCAGGAAGGCATTCAAATCATTTTTTGAAGATGACTGCGTCAAAATATACATATAAAACTGCAGTCAACTTCAAAAAATGATTTGAATGCCTTCCCGATCGAATTTTAAGCTGAAATTTGGTATGGACAAACTAGACTTGATGAGCAACATGCCCAAAAAATTTCATCAAAAAATTTCAGCGGGAAAGTGCCCAAACGGGCTCGGCCGGACGGAGCATCCCGTCAGGCCGGCCTGACAAGAAGACCACTCTTCACTGCAATATGATAGAACAATATAATAAGTGCATGGGTGATTTGTTCCAAGAGTACCAAAAAAGAATAGTTAACTCAATAAATAAAAAATTCAATGCACAAAATTCAATGTGATACTATCAAGGAGGATGTCACTTCGAATCTCATCTCCATTCAAGAATGTTGGTTTTAACTAAAAAGATATGTACTACATATATTATAGTAGATTGGGAAGCTCGGCAAATAAAAAGAGGCAGGAGTCAGGAGAACACTATTACTAAAATTATACGGAGTAAAAAATATTGAAAAGTTGGGGGGCCAAGTACCACTACCCAAAAACACGATATTGACATGGATTTTGGCAGGGATTATGCCAAATCCGCGCCCAAAAACTTTCGCATGAGCTATTTGGCACGAAAAATCAGTAATCCGTGCCAAATTTTCGCGCCAATCCCGTGTTTTTTTGTAGTGTACGTACCTACCCTTAATTATGCTTACCTCCGTCCATGGCTATGATTAAAATTGCGAAGTACTATACTGTCATTAGTGGAAGTAGATAATGTCAGGTTAAAGTCTAATGTTGTAACTATATATCTTGGCATTAATACTCCTATTTCGAAAATAAACAACATAACAATTACATTTTAGAAACCCCAAATACGAAGTATTAAATCTACTCATATTTCAGGAATTTTGCCATAATATTAAGGTTTGAAGTTTGCATCCTAAAAAATCAAACAAATTATTGGTACACACAGTATTAAAGTACAAAGTTTCTTTCGACATGAGGTTTCATACAAGTCTATATTTGATAGGAATAATTTGATGTCTACTTGCTAATGTTTTATCTAAGAAGTCTCTAAAGCGACTATTGTATACATACAACTATATGTTTGGTTTAAGTAGTGCATGCTTAACACTTTTTTTAGTAACTTAAAATCTTTATTAGAAATTATATGAACCTATAGTTTCTAAAAAAGTCTATTACTTTTAACATTAATGAATCCCAACACATTGTAACTCAATGGGCTTAATCGGAATAACAACTTAACCGTTCAACTATTAAGTTAAATCATGTTTTTTCATTAAGCTAAATCATGTTTACTCCCAAGTTATCTGATGAAAGCACGAAGTACTGATTCATTCAGCAAAAAAATATATTTAATCATTATGTTTTAAATTTCAACACAATAGTCATTCTCATTAACACGTCTATTCAATATTCATCCTAAGAGCCTAGCTATACGAGAAGTAGTTTAATGACTTATATCGATTATTTGGAATTATGTCTTAATATTTGGCTAGTGTAGAACAACTTAATATATCAGCTTTGATTGTGTACATACTGTTTTGTGCACATCAGTACACACATCAATGAACAGACTATTTTTATCTATTCAAAGACAAAACATGTTCACTAACGTCGGTGAGGCTATTTTGTTTGTGAATAAGCTATTGACAAACACAAAAATAATTGGGAAAAAGATCGGATAAGCCCTCGAACTTACATAACTAGACTGCCTTACCGGTTGAAGTTTTAGATGAATTTTAGAATGAGTAAATTAGACTTAATGAAGAAGATGCTAAAAAAAATTCATCAAAAAATTACACCGAAAACCGTCCCAAATAGCGACGACCGGACAGAACCTCCCATAAAAGGGATGATTTGAACTTTTTATGTAAGTTTGAGGGCCCATCTCGCCCTTTTCTCAAAATAATTTGGTCACTTACACACATATTGTTGATGTGTAGGAATAGTAATTTTCTTGATTTGTCCGTAATATATAGTGGCTGCCAACACATGCATATATAGATCTAGAGACATAAAAATATGTTTATCTATACCCACACGCTGAACTTTCATGAGCCACACAAGCCTTTTGCTCTTTTCTACTTTCTTCTTTCTTCTTTGAATTAGGGTTACAGTTCCCTATGATCGAAGCACTGACAAGGCTCTGAACTGCACATATATGTTTGATCTGCTTCATCTTCAGAGCCCAAGAGTACGTACGTGAAAGACGTACAAGGTACGTAACGCACGTAGTTAGTTCAAACCCATTATTTACTTGTTAATTGTCTTTTATCTTTATTTTTATTACATTTTATGTGGATCCAAAGCTTAATTATATATCTGGCACGAGTTTTTAGTTATAAAGGCTAAGGACGGTTACATAATTATGTGGACGAGTTTTTATTCCTCCGTATAACAATCCAGCTAGCTTAGGGTTCCTGGAGGCCTCAGTATACACAATGATATGGGGGCAGGAAATGGAAGAAAAACACAGCGGTTTAATTCAGATCACTCCTAAAAACATACTTCGTATATCGTAGAATGTATACAGGATGAAAGAAAAACGTATGGAGTAATAACAATAACCATACAATTAATATAAAAATAATAATTATACATTGGGAAAATTAATTAAAATACCCCAAACTTTGAAAAAGTGTGAGATAAACACCCCAAACTTTGATATGTAATTAAGTAATTTAAATACCCCAAACTTTATATAAAAAGTTATTTTAGCACCATGGCCATATATTATTTTTTCAAAAATGTAAATTTATGATGTTATTTTTCCATAACTAACATTTTTTAAAGAAATAATATATGACCATGGTGCTAAAATAACTTTTTATATAAAGTTTGGGGTATTTAAATTATATATATATATATATATTCAAGTTTGGGGTGCTTACCTCACACCCCTTCAAAGTTTGGGGTATTTTAATTATTTTTCCCTTATATATTTATGGGTACATAAAAGTTGTTTATACTTAGGAAAAATGTGACCTCCTAATGTATAAATTATAGTAGTAAGTTTAGTCATAATAATGTATATTCAAATTTTATGCTCAAGTGACATTAGTAACTTGCAATGACACCATAATAGTATGAATTTTAGTCATATTTTGTAAATAATTTTTATTTTAGTAATATTATGAAAAAAATCTCTTAATATAATTTATAAATTGTTCGAGATGAGACCAAAACATAGACTTAGTTCTACAATGTGATCAAATATGTTTTCTGCATAATATAGGACTTATTTAGTCCTATAATTAAAAGATTAAAAACTTCCAGTGAAATGTGATATAATGATTTTCATCAATTAATTAAACCTTGAATTTGATAGGAACTTTTCAGCTAGTACAAGCAAACCCGATACAATTAAAACACTGAAATTTGTCTACTCTACATATATATGTAAACCTTTTATTAATAACGGGTATATGCTCATCTATTGAGGGCAGGGGCGGACCATAGTAGAGACCCAGGGGGCAGTCGCCCCTCCAACAATTTTTTTTCTAGTGTATATATATACCAAAAAATAATTTTTGCCCTATCAAAAAATATTTTTTTTACCTTTCAAAAAACATTTTTTTTTTACCTTTCAAAAAAATTATTATTTTTAAGTTACCGCCTTCCCAAGATAAACTTCTTGGGTCTGCCTCTGATTAAGGAGTACTACTTAACTGCACTTGTTTTTTTTTGATAATTTTAATTTTAATTACTTAGTTGATAAAATACGGAGTGTGAATTAATTAATGGTAGATTCTATGGTACCCCAAATGTACCATACCTTTGTACAAATGGACCAATAAGAATGATGCAGTTGAATTATTTAAATCTAAATTAAAAAACATATAATGATTTGGACCAATCAAATGCATGGTAGGTACGGTACCTCATTTTTTAAATGAGTACCGGAGTTGTCACCTTAATTAATCTAAGCCTCCAAGGGCAGCAAAGGAAACATCATACACATACAACACAGTACAACAGTATTAAGATATTTTCTTTTGGACTGAAATTTGCTGGTCTGGTCTGATCTAAAGTGGTCTGATCTTAGTAAATGTCTGATCTCTGTGTATTTTATAACTACGAAAGTCTGATATGGCCTAGTCTGATCTGGGACTGAAAACGATCTAAAAGAAAACATCTTTACTATGAGAAAAAATGATAAAATTTGAGTTAACTTGTCAAACAAGCTAAGGTTTACTATAGTCCGTACGTTAAACACTTAAATAATGCGAAGTAGATTGCAAAGTTGCAGAAGACGCATGTCGGTCTCTGTCAGGAATGGTTTCATCTAACAGCATTTTCATTCACTTCCTCAAATATTCGGCTTGTTATCCTTTCTCTATAATGTTATTGTCACATAAAAAATCAAAACTTACGAATTTTCCCCCAATTTCTGTTTATTTTATTTTTAATGGAGTCTTTTGTTATTTTTAAGGAGACATTTTAGACATTCCAAATTAATTTCTTATCTAAATTAAATAATCTTTAAAAATATTCCCATATCTTCAATCATAATCTTAAAAAATATCTTGCACTGCACGTCATCAAGATGATCCGATCCTTAAACAATCTCATAGATGAGGGTTAAGTACATACGTACGTATAACATGTTTTCTTTTGGACTGAAATTTGCTGGTCTGGTCTGGTCTGGTCTGATCTGGTCTGGTCTGGTCTGGTCTGGTCTGTTTAAGTCTGGTCTGGTCTGGTCTGAACTGGTCTGTTCTGGTCTGGTAAACGTCTGGTCTCTGTGTATTTTATAACTATCCAAGTCTGGTCTGGTTTGGTCGGTTTAAGTCTGGTCTGGTCTATTTACATCTGGTCTGATCTGGTCTGGTCTGGGACTCAAAACAGTCCAAAAGAAAACAACCGAAAAAACTCACATGTACTAGTATAAGTTATATTAGGACCTTGTACACGTGTTAAAAACTTATGTAAAACATTATTATTTGAAAAGGTCTTTGGGTGAACACAATTACTCCTTCCGTTCTATTTTGGTTGTCTTACTTTCCTTTCTGAGTTGACCTAAAAAGGATGTCATGGTTTACACACTTTTACGTTTTGGGTTGACAAAATACGTTTTGTCTGTACAGTAAAAAAATCTGCACAGACATGTGTAAAAATGTGTACACAAAAAAGTGTGTACCTTTAGAAATTTTCTTCCCTTCATTCTACTCAAATTTCAACTTCAACTTTTATTCTCTAACCACTTTATTAACAATCGTGTCAAATAGAAATGAGACAACCATTAGGAGACGGAGTTAGTATTTATTTGGGCTTCGACACTACTTCATTGCCTACTTGTATTGAATCTTCTAATTGAGAATTATAATTTACACTGGAGTAATTTTTAGAGAGAATTCTCTAAATAGGAGTAAAAACGTTTTGAAATTCCAAAATTGGAGTATCATGTTTTTTATTCCCTGAATATGAGTAAATTTCTGCCAAGTTTGACATTACAAGACTTTTAAGATGACATTTTCTTCCAAACTTGTCAGATTACTCCTATTTAAGGAATAGGAAACATGATACTCCTATTTTAGAATTTCTAAACGTTTTTACTTCTATTTAGGACAATTTGTGTATTTTGTAGGGATGGATGAATCTTATTTTTAGCTGAAAACATGGATCTTAGATTCTTTTTATATACGAAGTAGATAATTTAAGAACGTGCCTATAAATATATTCAGAACATGCCCCACACAATTAGCAGTAATTTTATTTAGTTTTAGAAAATTTCCATTCATGTTTTTCAAATAAATTGTTTCTCTCGATCTTCATTGACATGTTATGGTCATACAATAGGTGACAACTCTGGTATCCATTTAAAAAATGGGATACCGTACCTACCATAGATTTGATTGGTCCAAATCTTTATATAATATAAAGTAACAGTCATTGCACAGCAATTGAAGGGAAAAATCCCGCCCAAATCTTTATATAATATAAAGTAACAGTCATTGCACAGCAATTGGAGAGAAAAATCCCGCCCAAATTAGGGTCATAATAGACAATTAATGCAAAATAAAAACTACACGTATGGTCAATTAAAACTATAAGTATGACCATTAAATTGGAAAGAATCTATTAATCAAACGTACCATATATTGTAATAACTTCAAAAAAGATGCAGGATATACAAATAGTTCCTCCAAAGATACGAAAATATTGACTTTGACATTCTAGAATTACCCACAACTTTTATTTAAATTATAAGTTTCAGATTTTAACAAAATTTTAAAGTTTTGTAATATAAAAAACAGGTTAAAAACCAGTTAAATGATACATAGTTCTCCCTCTGTCCCACTAAAATTGCTCCATTTTACCTTTCGGTTCGTCCCACTAAAATTGTCTCATACCAAATTTGGTAAAGTTCGTGTGGTTCTAATTCATTATTATGTTATTTTTACTTTATCGATTCAATATCAACCACATAAAACCATTTTTCTTAATAAGCGCACCGCATTCTCATGTCCCAATATTGGTGGGACGAAGGTAGTACTTTTTTAGTACTCTCTCCGTCCCGCAAAGAAGTTGTCACTTTCCTTTTTTAGCAGTCCCAAAAAGAAGTCCCCTTTCCCTAAATGGAAAGTTATTCTACATAAAACAGTGCCAAACAGTGCAAAACAGTGTCAAACAGTGCCAAACAGTGTCGAAACAGTAAAATTTACCCCTTGGTAAGTTTATTTCCTTAATATGTGTGTAAGTCAAACTGTGAACATCTTTGCGGGACGGAGGGAGTATATGAGACTTTGATGAATTGGAAATTGTAGAAAAAACTATTTGACCTTTTCCCATTTTTATTTAAAAAATTATGAATTACGTAATATTACACTCCGTAATACGGAGTGGAATGTTATTTCAAACATGTTATAATTCTATTCTAGATATATCCCGTGCATCGCACGGGTACTTTGTCTAGTCATTATATTCTTTTTAATTTAGATTTAAATAATTTAATTGTATTATTCTTATTGGTCCATGTGGACAAAAGTACGGTACATTTGGGGTACGATAGAATCTACCCATACAATAAATCTAAAATAAAAAACTTTTCATTCACAATGGAATTCAGATAATAAGCTCTTTAGGTCAGGCATTCAATATACTTGTATTCAAATTACAATCTAAAATTATTTGGCATTGTAGTCTCGATACCAGAGTATCATTTTAACTAGACAATCTGCCTATATAATCTCCTCCCTGAATCATTGTCTTTAAAATAATCCCATATCATTTATTTACTCATCTTCAAATAAACCTAGATGCCCTTTAATATATGCTCCGTAATTTGTTCCGTCCTACAAAGTCAATGTAAATAAAAGCAGTTACTCGTAATAATTTCCGCATCTTGTATAAACAAAGAGCGATATATTATTATAACAATAATGATCCTATATTTGATTATTAAAAAAACGATCCTACATTTGATTAAACCCATTATATATATTGAAATCTTATTTCAAGAAACACATTATTTTCCTTTGACTAAATGTGTCATAATTCAGTACTCTTCTTACATTGAGCATGTATTCACTCGAGATATTTACACTACCCATTCACACACAAATGTCAATTGACTAGCAGTGTACTTATTGTTTGTGTAGTTGCTATTATTGAAAATACCCAAATGGCATCATCATCAAGCTCATACAGCTCACCATGCGCGGCGTGCAAGTTCCTAAGAAGAAAATGCCTGCCCGGGTGCATCTTTGCGCCGTACTTTCCACCCGAGGAGCCGCAAAAGTTCGCCAATGTCCACAAAATATTCGGGGCGAGCAACGTGACGAAGCTGTTGAACGAACTCCTCCCGCACCAAAGAGAGGACGCCATGTGTTCACTTGCCTACGAGGCGGAGGCGCGGGTGAGAGACCCTGTCTACGGGTGTGTTGGAGCCATCTCATACCTACAGAAGCAAGTCGAGCGCCTCGAAAAGGAGCTCGACATGGCAAACACGGATCTAATCCGTTACGCTTGTAGCGAGGTGGCGCCACCACTAATCTCCGCCCTCGGGGTGACTCAAGGGATACTCCAAGCCACCGCCCCAACACATGACCGCCTCCATAGTCCTAGTCCCGGTGGCTTGGAGTACCACCCGTATTCCTTCTCTTGGGAGGTCGACAATAACAACTCTCCGGGAAGTGGGAAAGCTACATAAATGATGAAATCATTTATACATGAACCAAAAGCCTACATTATTCCCTAGGCTTCATAATTTGTGATTCTTCGGATGGGAATGTTCAACTTGTAATACTCCGTATTTAAAACTATTCAAAATGGTACGCATTTCGAAATAAACATTCACGTACTAAAGTTCAGCTACTTTTTATAGCTAGACCATTCATAAATTTGATCATATTTCATCATCTGTCATTATCATCAACGTAACATCTTCATCTTCAAATCCGATCAGTTGTGGTTTTCATAAGCAACTGCCGGTGTACCGTTACAAAAAAATTACGAAATTGGCACGGATTAGCCGATGATTTCGTGTCAAATAGCTCGCATCAAAATGTTTTTGACATAAATTTGACATATTTTTCCGAAATTCATGCCAATTTTGGATCATCCCTGTAAAAAATCCCTGGCCTACATATCCCGTATTTTTTGTAGTGTACAAAATATGTTTAGTTTGCTTCTAAAAGCCTCATACGGTGTACATGTAAGAATTGAATTTCTTAAGAGAACGATTAAGGGAGTGTTTGCAATTGTTTGAACTTTAAAAAAGTGATTTTTTAAAGTGATTTTGGGAAAAGTGATTAATAGTAAAAGTTGGTAGTGTTTGAGAAAAAAGTGATTCTGGAAAAGTAAAAGTTGGTAGTGTTTGGTAAAATAAGTATTTTTTGTGTAATAGAAAAAGTGAGAAGCAGTTTAAAGCACCCTTCTACCTGCTTCCAGCTTTTAGCTTTTAAGTGATTAATTTAAGCAGAAGTTGTCATTTGAAAACACTCTTTTCAACTTTTTTTAAGCCAAAAGCTGAAAAGTGCTTTTTTTAAGCAAACCCAAACACTCCTTAATACGGCGTAAGGCTTGGATCAAATTTTACTTTAATTAAAATTGCGAGGTCCCGAGCTGAAATTTTACATTTACTTGCGAAATTTTACTTTAATGCTATTTTTTCATTCTACATTCTACATTAATCTTGTGCAAACAAAAAATGAAGTCTTACACCGTATTAATCGATCTCTTAAACTTTCGTAAGTAAAATGTAAGATTAATGCATTAATAGCCTTACACCCTATTAATAGCTCTCTTACCCAACAAGAAAAACACCATGCATCTATTTACGCTCAAGTATCATATATTTTCTACTCTCAAAAACATCCTCAATGACATTTTCCAAACTACGTATACATTGAGGACAATGTAATTGAAATATATACTGAGGCCAGGCTCATAATTAGTTGATAATCTTTTTTGAGAGATACCCCTTTTTTGAAAATTAAATTTTACGGAGCATTTAGGAATGTTAAAAAAATGATACACTCTCTTTTAAGTGTTTTGGTTGAGAAATAATTCTTTTAACTCATCAAAGTGTCATTTTTAAATTAAATTAAATATTTAATTATTTTTACTCTTGAAACCACTTTATTCACCCAAAGTTGTGATAATTTTCTAAATCGATAGAAATGTGTATAGAGTGCAAATTCAAATCACTCTATATTGTTGGATTATCCTCATTTTTACAACTCAAATATACTACGTACTAGTATATGATAGAGAACCAAGAAATGAGTTTATATACAACAAACAAACAAAAAACTCATGATCTCCTTGAATAAGCTTGTCTACAAAATTAAGTTGTAAATCCACAAACACACCATCGATGTATCCCACACCTATCCTAAATTGTCACAAATGAATCCATCAAGAGTTTAATTATTTTTTTAACCACAAATACATTTGTCGTGAATCATAGGAAAATGTTTTTGGCCTGAGAAAGATTAAAGAATTTAATTTATATTTAACTTACCCCGCATAATGTTATTGGAAATTTAATTAGCATGATTTAGTTTCTTCTCTAATTGTGCATCATCAAAAAGAAATTGAAGCACAAGCAACAGTCAAGCAGGGGCCGACATAGCTAGGGGTGGCCAACTTAGGTCTCGGCTCACCCCAAATTTCAATTTTATTTGAATTATAGAGGTAAAAAGGTCGAGTAAAAAAAATCTTCAATATTTCTTTGTACCGGCCTACCCTACTATAGTACCCTACCTACGCCACTGCACTCAAGTGTTGGAGGGTTTGATAGTCGTTATATTAACTTTTGGTTTACATAAGCATTTACAATGTACTGTTCAATTCCAAAAAGCGCAAGTGCTAGCCCGCCTAGGTGGGTGCCTAGGTATTTTTTCAATTCCTATGAATTTTAACCACCTTTATTAATAATTTTACGAATAAATTCCACTTTTGGTCCTACGAGTTTTAGTTCAATTCCACATTTAGTCCACATCTTTCGTTTTGTTCACTTTTGATACATGACTATTGTGCTTTCGACCATATATGATCCTTCCGGCATTGTTTCTGATGGTTAAAATCACCGGAAAAGGACCACAAACAATTAAAAAACATTAGTCAAGTACCAAAAGTGGACAAAGTGAAAGACGTGGACTAAAAGTGGAATTGACACAAAACTCGTTGGACCAAAGTGGAATTAATTCATAATTTTACAATTATTTGACAATAGAAAGAACTCATGTGATCATTAGATGTTTTGCTTTCTGTAGTAAAACCATCAAACTTAAAATAATTAATAGATAAATTAAGAGAATTGTGCTTTTTAATCTCTAAAAATGGTCACGTACATTCTAAAAAAAGTTTATATACACTTAAAAATTATTTTTTGTTATAGCAATATGCTAGTGATTTCTATATAAGAATAGAGAACTTCCTGATCAAATAGTGTTTTAAGACTAAGTGGAAAATATAAATTCGATAAAGAACAAATTTACCATGGGCCACCTAGCCACCACCTAGTCACCCGCCTAGCTGCCTAGACGGCTGACCGTTTTTTTCCCTCCAATTAGTACGAAATCAGGGTGCCTAGGCACCGCCTCGCGAATAGGTGGCGACTAGCTAGACGGGCTCCCAAGCTGATTTTTAGAACCATGAGTATTTACAAGTATTTGTTGAACAAAAGAAGAAAAACCGGACAAATAATTTCAGAATGAGAGCTAGAGTACAAAACATTGCGATGAACGGCTTTTGGACAAATAGATTTCAAGCCCTATACTCGATCGGGCGTCTTAGGCAGTGTCCAGGGGGTTTGGTTTTCCAGCAATACTTGATCGGGTAAGAAGTGATGCCCGATCGAGTATATTTCTTTTTGCACATTTCGAGCCGTGTACTCGATCAGGCGTTTTAGGCAGTGTTCGGAAGGTTTTGTTTTCCGGCCATACCCGACCGGGTAACAAGTAATACCCGATCGGGTATTTTTGTTTCTTTGAAATTCTTGCTGATCCGATCGAGTACTGAACTTGGTTTCTCCTTTTAACCTATACCCGACCGAGTAATAAATTGTACTCGATCGGGTATGTTCCCAAACTGTCAAAACCTGCATTTTCTTCTCCTCCAAAACATGTGGTTAGTGCCCTCTCCCCCTTTCTCTCAAATTTAAATTAAGAAATAAATAAAATCCTAACTACTTGACTTGGGTTGCCTCCCAAGAAGCACCTTATTTAACATTGTGGCACGACATTTTATTTTTTATTTTCAGTTTTATTTGGGATCACGAGCATCCCTTCCTTTTTAACAGTCTTGTTTGGCCAAATTTGTTTGGCCAAATTTCATTTTATTTTCAGTTTTTTACCACTTCAACCATAGGTGGATTTAATTCACCATTTGACAACTCCCTTCCAATCCCAGATGATTCCCCATTCGCTTGAAAAAGTGGGATTTTACTAGATTCCTTCAAAAAATTCGGTTCTTGTGGTCTAAAAACATTTAAAGAACAAAGAGTTTGATCTTTAATTTGTTTTTCGTAGAGTCAAAGATATTGAACTCTACTTTTTGGTCATCGAACTCTAAAGTTAATGAACCACTAGACACGTCAATTTTTATTTTTGCGGTTTTTAAGAAGGGTCTATGATATTCGTGTAATTTCCGATTGTATGTTTGTATTTTTAACTAGTTTTTATTAGTTCTAGTTGTGGAAATTACACACTTTTGGTGTAATATTTTATTTTCATTTTTATTTGTAATTTGTTTAGATTAGGATTATTCTGAGCTAAACAGGTCAAAGATCATCCAAGGGATCAAGATTGGACCTTAAAAGATCAAGGAAAGTGCAAGGAGACAAGAAAGATTTCGATTTCGAAAAATACTCATGTACCCGATCAGGTATTGCCTATACCCGATCAGGTATTCACTTGATCCGATTGTCCAAATCAAATCCGGGAACAAATGATCGTGGGAACAAATTTTCGTGAAGATTTGTCACATACCCGATCGGGTATGCCCAGAAAAGTGACTTTCTGGGCAATTTCCTAAGATACCCGATCGGGTATCCTGTATACCCGATCGGGTATCAGACCCTGCAGCTCCCAAAAGCCTATAAATACACCCCTTTCCTTCACAATAAAATCATCAATTCACATATACTCTTTAGCTCAGTTTAGATTAGTCTTTTCTTTATATTTTCTATCATGTTTAGTCTCCAAATGAGGAGCTAAACTCTTCCATTTGGTTTTGCTACTTTGAGGCTTAATGGATTATAAGTTGTGAGTTATTTTCTTTAAGGGAAAGTTCCCGAAATAGGACTAAAACAGTTTGAAAATTCTAAAATAGGACTGCCAAGTTTTTTATTCCCAAAATAGGAGGAATTACTGCCATGTTTGGAAAATACTGCCATGTTAGAAGTCTGATACTGCCAAAACATGGCAGTAATTAGTCCTATTTTGGGAATAAAGACATGACAGTCCTATTTTGGAATTTTCAAACATTTTTAGTCCTATTTCGGGTAATATCTCTTTCTTTAATCTTATTCCTTGAATATTAATTTTTCCCTTAATACTACCTCTATATTAATGTTGGAGAGTGTTACTAAGATGACAATTAGTTAACATCTCGACATTAATTAGAGTAGTATTTATTTTCTTCCTCTATATTAGTGTTGGGGAGTGTTACTAAAATGACAATTAGTTAACATCTTGACATTAGTTATAGTAGGATTTATATCTTCTTTAATATTCTTCCTTGAATATTAATTAATTCCTATTCATATTTCATTTTAATATTTTGAGCATTAGTTAAAGGATCAACTAGTTTTGTCTCATATATTAATTATTACTAGAATCGATCGACGAATACGCTTGTTAATTGTTCGATCTTTTCACGGTAGTAATCTTGGATTATTAATGCATGCG